GGTTCTAAAACATATATATTTACATTATGAATATTTCCATACCATTAATCTTACAAAGTGCATAGTATTACCATGTAGGAAGTAAAGTATTATTCATTTACATATGACAATATTTTATTAAAAGATTAAAGTAACATTTCATGCATCACGTTTTTGTTTCTAAAGGATCCTAATGTGCGCATACCCATGCTATATGGATTTTGAAATATCAGTATGGGATTTATTATCACTATTTACCTTCATTGATTAAGTACATGCACATTTGTAAATATCTCTGATATATATATGTTTACAGTTTTCATTATATGATATGATTTGAGTTAACAAGAATCTTTCCTCACATTGTAAAGATATTTGTTTGACAGGTGTGGTAATACTTGGCATTTGCTGGTCATTACTGCTGGTGTATGTGATGTCCTCCCTGAAATGGCAACCTGGAGATATTAATGCTGCTCAGCACATGGCACAAGCAGGTGAAAAGGCAAACATTCCCATGGCAAGAGCTGCAAAAAGTCAAGTATGTATATTATTCTTAATCTTGAAAGAATATGTATTTAATTTGGTATATTTAAATGGAAGCAAAGGATGTCATATCAGAATAGGAAAAAGGGATACTTTGAGAATACAGATGATGTTTACTTTATCCTTTTATATTGTTTTCAAGGAGGATTACAGGTTACATAGGTTACTATAGGTTACAGTTCTGATAATGCAGTATTGTTTTGTTGAGAAAGGCTGTCAACATTGATAAAGCTTTGAAGTGTCCTTTTTTAGCTTTGGAATAAAAGGAATCTCAACTAAAGGGTTTTCTTATTTTGCAGATGTTGATCAAGGAGATATTAGATGCAATAAAGTTAAGCAATAACAGCAAGACAAAAAATATTAATACAACCTCACTGAAAGACCTAGTCGTACCCACTAAAAGGAATGAAACAAAAAAATCAGGTATGCTTTATTGTTTTCATTGTGTGAAATATTTTTTCGTTCATGTTGAACATTGTAGATGAATTAATTTTTGTTTCTACTCTTCTTTATTTATCTTTTTTCACTTTTGAGTCCAGTAAGTTCTTCCTTATTGGTCCATTATGAACAAGAGAAGATACATATATAATAAAAATAAATAACAATAGAAGACTAGTATTTAGTGATGATAAATTCATGGGATTGATAGTGTTTTTAAGGGGTATGTCAGGTGTCAAGGAAATGAAAATTGTGAATTGAATTATACTAGAATTACTCATTCTGGGTCTTACTGCCTGTTTGAAGAAAATACTGTAAGTATAAGCTAAAAGAGTATTGACAGTTAGGGATTAAACGTCATAGTTGCATAGATTTTGCTAAATTTGAATTGTTTCAATTAGTAATAAGTGGGTGATTATTTGTATTAATATTTTGCAAATTTGCAATTAATCTTTGCACTTTGCTTTTGACAATTTATTCATATTTGTGTATTTTTGAAGTTATTGTTATATATAATTTTGAAGATGATGATTCTAATTTACACAAAAGTTTTATAGATAAAGTAAACAGAATAGTATTAGCCATTTTACATTATTCAAATTTAATAGTGTAACTTGTCAATTACACTTTGATCTATTCTTAACCCAATGAGCTTGAGTTGTAAGATTATATGTCATGCCCACTGTAATGTAAGTTTATTTATTGTATTTACACATAGATGGCTCTACAAGTACTTAATCACCAAAGAGTCAGTTATTATTCCTCCCTATCTCCCCTGTTTACCCTTTTCCTTGATTTTGGAAAGGGTCTTTTGTATTACTGCATTGTCTTAAATGTTACCAAGATTTTAATCAATAACAATGATAACAGTATCAATATCAATTGTATTAAAAAGAAAAACACATTTTCCTGCCAATTCAAGGAATGGGGAAATCAGGATCTGTCACTTGGGCCTACTAATAAGCTCCTTGCCAGCTGAGCACATGTGGAGCCATCTGTATGTAACAAAATTCACAAAAAACTACAAGGGATAGAAAATAAATCTGTGATGGTTGGATTAAAGTGTTGTTTTTAGGTTAGGATAGAGATAGATAAAATGCTAGTCAACAAGGAGTCCATTACAAAGCCTACCTGATTTCACCTGTTAACCCTGTCCCTTAAATTTTCAGAAAAAATCGTTTTATTGTTATTATCATGAGTGCTCTGTAAAGAGATAATATTGATGATGTCAGTAATGATAATAGTAATTTTAATTTTGTTATTATTGATTACTTTTTCTTTCAGATTCTGCAATTAATGTGGTAGTCTCAGGGGATGAAGAGACCTTGCTGGGAGTAATGGCAGTGATCAACAGCGTCGTTGCAAATACAAAGTCTGCTGTCCACTTTTACGTCACTCTACCAAAGATTGTCATTCCAGACTTCAGGTTCGTTTCTTTTCATTTGTGATTGGTTCACTTTAGGGTAACCAGGTACTTGTATATTATTTTCTCATGGTATTCATGGTATTCTTGTAGGATTTAGGATAGGTTGCTATTTAG